CCCCTGGCCTCTTCTTTCTGGGGCAGAAGCTGAGGATGAATGGGCAGAACAGGTCAAGGGAGGCGAAGACCCATGGGTGGGGACCATCCCTGACCTAGGAGGAACAGACAGAGTGGCAGTCCCTGTCCAGCTTGGTGACAGGGGGTGGCTGGGTCATTCAGTTCCATCTGCACCCCCTMGCACACCTTCATCCAGCTCAACCAAAATGCACCCCAAATGAGAAACAAAGAATGACCTGCCATCTTGCAGAAGTCTAGAGCAAAMGAAAAAACCCTGTGTGAAGACRGTGACATACAGTGAACTCTAATCACGGAGAGCAGAGAGAAGTGACCAGGGCTTCCAATCCTTACCCCACCATACACACATCCCTCAAACCCCGGCCTCTCCTCCAGCTACCCCGGGGAAGGGAAAACACATTTAGTAATTAACATACCACACAGGGCCGGCCACCGATGATATTGAATCCCAGGGAGCCTGAGTCCCGGTGCAAGACAAGAGTTAGACTTCTGGTTTCTTCACCCTACAGGGGACAAATGAGTCCATGTGGTTATTTACAAACAGGAAACTGAAGATAGGGATTTTCTTTAGAAGTGGACTTGGGACAGCCAGAGCTAATCATTTAARAAACCCTTTATCTCTTAGGAAGTTTAACCAATGAAATTCCTGAAACCCAACCTCCAACTCTTGTCCTGTCTTTTGAAGATTCCAACCATGTCCAGATACCTCCTGGCCCTGGAATGACCACATAAAAATGCCCAGCGAACATCTCCTAACAAGACTGCCCTGCTGTCTGCAATGCCCTCTTCTATTGACCTGCCCACTGGACACTGGTCATCTAGATGGTGACTCTGTTCCTTGGCCCTTCTCAATGGTGGCATTCATGTTGAGACCTGAAAGGTTCAAGCGGCAGCCCCCTGCAGAAGTTGGAGCGCATGCATGGCCCATCAATGGTCATCTCTGGGGGGGGGGGGGCAGGGATGGCGCAGAAAAAGTCAGATGCAGACACAGAGGGAAAACAGAAAATCCTGAATCTTATAGAAAAGGGGGAGGAGACATTTTCCCAAAGTCATTCCTGTCTAATAGGTCTGCAATAAAGAGCTTTTTAACACAAAACAGTCTGCTGAAGACTGGGCAGCACGATACCCTTTAAATCAAACTAGCAGAGGTGGACTTGGCACAAGCTCCAACAGTC